AAGAGCCATTATCAAGAGCATAAAGGAGCATTGAGTTGACCCGATTTTGCTGGTCTTCAATCTATAATATTCTATTTTAACCACCCTCCCACTTTTCCATTCTGTCTAACTCTTCCTCCAGAGGAAGAAGAGGTGGACAAGATGATGGAACAGAAGATGAAAGAAGAGCAGGAGAGAAGAAAGAAAAAGGAGATGGAAGAGAGAATGTCACTAGAGGAGACCAAGGAACAAGTATGTAGGCCCTTGATCTCTCCCAGCTCTTCCCTTGGCTCTCCTGCCTTCATCTTCTCTCTCCTCCTTTCCCAGATTCTGAAGTTGCAAGAGAAGCTTTTGGCCCTACAGGAAGAGAAGCACCAGCTTTTCCTGCAACTCAAGAAAGTTTTACACGAGGAAGAAAAACGGAGGCGAAAGGAGCAGAGGTGGGATTGGAGGGCTAAAATTAAAATTGAGGACAAAGTATAATTGGGACCAGGTAACAAAAGATCAGTGTTTAATGGCAAAAGAGGGGGCCTTGTCCTTGATTTTGATCTGCCTTCATTTCATTCCAGTGACCTGACCACTCTGACATCAGCTGCATACCCACAGAGCCTGACTGTTCACACAGGAACTCATCTCCTCAGCATGCAGGGTGAGGATTAAAGAAACCACTTGTCAGAATGGGCCCTCCTAGGGCTTATAGACTCCCATTTCAGCATCATGAAGATCTCTCCCTCTCTAGGGAGTCCTGGAGGACACAATCGCCCAGGCACCCTCATGGCAGCTGACAGAGCCAAACAGATGTTTGGACCCCAAGTGCTTACAGTAAGAGGAGTAGGACTGGGTGTCTAGTCCATTGTTTTTCCCTGTTTCCGCCTAGAGCCAGGCATCCTTACTAAATCAGTTTTCAAGTCATGAGTGTAATATACATTTAGCTGTATAGGGAAAAATGGGGCATACCTAAGTCACATTGAGTTTCTGCTTTTGAGTTTACGAAGTGAGTTCTCATTTCTCCTTAGACCCGGCACTATGTGGGCTCAGCAGCTGCTTTTGCAGGGACCCCAGAGCACGGGCAATTCCAAGGCAGCCCAGGTGGTGCCTATGGGACTGCTCAGCCCCCACCTCACTATGGACCCACTCAACCCACCTATAGTCCTAGTCAGCAGCTTAGAGGTGAGTGATGGGAAAAGGGAGGTACGTGTGGCTTGCCTCAAGGCCCAGAGCTGGGAAGTGTTATGAACAGACTAATGGCTGTGCCCCTGCCTTTCTCAGCACCTTCAGCATTTCCTGCAGTGCAGTACCTGTCTCAGCCACAGCCACAGCCCTACGCAGTGCACAGCCACTTTCAGCCCACTCAGACAGGTGATAACACCCCATACGGGGGCCCTAGTTCTATGGGTCTGCCCTTCCTCATTCTCTACTCATTTCACACACCCTTCTTCACCTAGGATTCCTCCAGCCTGGTAGTGCCCTGTCCTTGCAAAAGCAGATGGAACATGCTAACCAGCAAACTGGCTTCTCTGACTCAGTGAGTGTAAAGCCTTGGGAGGTCAGGGGAAGGGTTATGTTGAGGAGCCCAAGTCCTGGCTGCCTCAGGTCCTAATTCTCTTCTTTGCAGTCCTCCCTGCGCCCCATGCATCCCCAAGCTCTGCATCCCGCCCCAGGACTTCTTGCCTCCCCCCAGCTCCCTGTGCAAATGCAACCAGCAGGAAAGGTAAGGATGGTAAATCATACCTTAGGTCACAGTCCCTACACTACTAGGGAAAACAGGATTGGGTAGGAGAGGTGGCTCACAGTCTTGGTTTTCCCTTCTTCCTTTGGGGTGTGGTTGTAAGGGTATGGAGAAGAGAGAGTATGCACACTGACAAAGCCTTTTCATCACCACCAGTCAAGCTTTGCAGCTGCCAGCCAGCCTGGTCCTCGGCTCCCCTTCATCCAGCACAGCCAGAACCCGCGATTCTACCACAAGTGACCATCAAATTTTATCTTCAGCCTCATCCCCACCCCTTACCATGGCTGAGGGTGCCTGTGTGTCCTAGTCCAGGCCAATAAAACCTGCCATTGCTCCTGGCTGCTGTTTGTGTTGCCTCCCACCTGGACCAAGCCAGGACAACTTGGAGGGCGGAGTGGTAGCTGACAGGTCCATGGCAAGTCACAGTGGGACAGTGGGTTGGTTGAAATGAACTCAGTGGCACAGTTCAATCTAAAATCTATTTCTGGTTTCCAAATTTATCTTCTAGTCAGCAAATACCTATTTGCTCAAAGCAGCAGCCAAGTTAGAGCTTCATATTAAACTTGTAGTTTTATTTAGGTTTGCTTTTAACAAATGTGTCGGGGAGAGAGCCCACAGGAAAGGGTGAAGCCCATGGGGGCAGGGCCCTCCCAGATGCCTGAGGAGGGGGCAGGTCCCCTCCCCTCTCCTCCTTTTCCCTCCCCAGCTAAAGGGATTTGGGGAGAGATACAGGCAGGGGAGGGGGCTGGTCCCCAGTCTGTGGGGGTGGTGCTTGGGATAAAGGGCTATGGGGAACAGGAACCAGACCAGGGACAAGTGGGGGAAGGGCACAAGGATCATTTGCCAGAATCCACAGCTTTGATTCCAGAATTTAAAAAAAAAAAAAAAGGAAAAAAAAAAAAAACAAACGAACAAAAACAAACCACTAAACTAAACCACAAGCAGCACCCACCCCCTCTCCCCCACCAGGGCTGTAGTGCGAGGGGAAAAGAGGAGGGCAGCTTCACCAAGGCCATGGCTCACTCCTGGCCAAGGGAGCAGGATGTAGGGCAGGGGCTCCCCGACAGATTGAAGGGGTGGGGGAAACCAAAATAAAACGTCAAATAAATTGAGTAGGAGAAGTCCAGCCAAGTGCCAGGCCAGAGCTGGGCCAGGCTGGGGGAGGGGGCCTCTGCAGGCTTGAGGATCACTGCTGCCACCATCACCACCCTGGGTAGGAGAGAGAAACCAAGTAAGATAGGATAATACCTGGAAAAGGAAAAAGGGTGAGGATCATCCTGTGGTCAGAAAGTAAGCCTGGAACAATTAAAACTAAAGCAACTCTTTGATGGGGACAACAAAGTATGTGAAGGGGGAATAGAGTTTGTCATACTCACCTGGGAGCCAGTTATTTTGCCATGGCCTTGATTGCAACAGCTGCCTCCTCTGTCATGGCAGACAGCACCGTAATCTGTGAACGAGAAGTCAGAAATCTAAGCTCAGAGATGAAGCACAAAGAGGATAGCTGGGCACAAAAGGAGGAGGGTGGTCCATACCAGGATCTCCTCTCCACAGTCGTACTTCTGCTCAATCTCCTTGCCGAGGTCTCCCTCAGGCAGACGAAGGTCCTCTCGCACCTCCCCACTGTCCTGGAGCAGTGATAGATACCCATCCTGGATGCCAATCAGCTGATTTTTTTTTGATACGGAGGATAAAGGATCTGATAGACAAGCTAGGATAGCAAACTATTAATACCCAATACCCTCTCCTGCCATTTCCCTCCTCTCCCAGCACAAACTCTTCTACTCAATCTGTACACCACCTCCAATTACTGACCCAACTATATACCCAGACCATCTACATACCTGGAAATCATTCCTTTTGATGTTGGGGACATCCATATTATGAGTTGATGGGCAGATATCTTCATATTTCTTCCCAGTAAAGATGTCAATACCAACCAAGTGGACCTGTATGTATGCATCACATCAAAGAGAAACCCAACCAAACTAGGGTAGAGGAGATAAAGGCTCAACTTGTCCTTGGCTGGGAAGGGAAGTCAGACTACAGTTGGGACAAAGATCAGGGGAGTTGGAAATGAACAATGAAATCAAGGAAGAAACACTAAAGCCTCTAAAGTAAAAAGAACCTGAGGCAAAAAGACCACCACTGAAATTGGGGTTGACAGCATAAGGAAAACTGTAGGCCAGGTTTGGAGCAGTCAATTACCCAGAGCTATCAAACCTTTGACAATTAAGGGGTTAAGTGCCTAGAAGAGTCCAGGTAAAAGTTTAGAAGAGTTTTCTGAACATCAGCATAAAAGGCTGAGAACTTAGGAAATAAGTAAAAGAGAAAGAGCTGAGAAAACAGGAAGGATTAAGAAAGAGCTGAAAAGAAAAAAGGATGGGAGAGATTAGGAAGAACTAAGCAATTAGAAAATAAAGAAACCAAAACACAGAAAAGGATGAAAGAAATTGGGGCAACCCAGGAGGAATGCCAAGTCAACAAAAAATAGAGAAACCAGTTAGGGAACAAAATCATAAAAAATTTAAAAAGGATGAACCAGGTTGAACTTCTGAGGAAAAAGAAAAATCCAAAGTGACAAGGACAGAACTAGCAAGAATGTTAGGACCTAAGAAAGCAAAGAGCCTCAAGGAGAGGGGGCGGCAAGGTGATTTGGAAGTTCAGAGGTAAACTGTTCCTCTCCAGGGAAGGCTGAATTCTGTGTTAGGGTAGGAGAACCCTAAGCAAAGTAACAGAAACAAAGAACACCTACAAAGACTGAAGGAAAGAGAGAGAAACAGAAAAAGTGAAGGCCAGGAATAAGGAACAGCTAAATAGCCAGAGCACAAAACACCACCAAGAGATGGAGAAAGGGGTTACCAGAGACAATAGTGGAAGAGGCTCAAGTCTGGGAACAAATGTAGTAGAAAGGTATCCAGGGCTGAGAGCTGAACAGAAGGAACTGGATGGTAGATTAAGAAAAGAACTAAAGGAAGGTGGAGGGCTAGGACTGATGACAACTTGCTTCCAGGAGCCCCATGGACCTGAGAGGTGTGGGGACAAGATGTGGAGAGGTAAAACTCTAACCTTGGCATGGCCGTGTTTGCCAGTCTTGGAGGTGGACATCTCCACAATCTTACATGGTCGGCCTTTGAGCACCACAAAGCCATTCTTACGTAATGCTGAGCACTGCATTGGGAAGGTGGCTGAGGCCCCTGCATCTCCTGTCTCGAAGTCCAAATCATCTGCCATTTTAAGAGGCTTCGATTCCAGCTAGAGTCAAGAAGAGAACTGGAGTCAGTAAGAATGGAGGTTTAACAGGGCCTCTCATTTATCCCACTCCTTTCTGGAAACTGCTTCATTTTCTTCCTAGCAGTTTATTCTATTACCTATCTAAAATAAAGTTAAAGTTCCTAGATTAAATATTGATTGGGATCACAAATATTATAGAACTAATGTGTGTATAGTGGAGGTAAGAAGCTGGATTCCCACCCCAAACAAAAGCTAAAGTGGGGGGACTTGGGAAAGAAAGTCTCAGGGCCAAATTAGGATGCCAAATCTCTGAAATGGGCAAAAGCCTAATTCCTGGGAGGGGGGAGGACTCAGGTGTTACTTGCCACTGAAACCAACCACCCCTCTTCCCCACACATAACCAGAGCTATAATTAGGTGAGCAGCAATGAGCCAGCAAAAGGGCGGGGCTAACGTGGCGGGGAGGAGGGTGGAGACCAGAGGACAGGGCCCCACCCGGCTATGTTACACCCCTACACCTTATCCACACACAAGCCAGTCATTGGTACAGGAAACCACAGGCCTCTTTGGGGGATTCCCGCCTCTCCAACATGCATTTGCAGATGCATCCGAGGGAGGGTAAAGTAAAGTTTTTTCAAACTAATCCCCCTGCTAAACACCTCGATCTCCTTTCCCAAAGGGAACTCAGGAACCCAGCCTCTCCTCGAAGGCCCTCCCACTTTTCCCAAGATGCATCGGTCTTGTCGGCTTTTCAGGCCGGGCCTGTAAGTCAGTAAAAGTGGGGGAATGGGGAGTGGTGAATGACAATAAAATGAAAGTAAAAGGCTGGTAGTAGTGAGTAGTTTAACTTATACTAGGATAGTAAAGTGAAGGACTCTAAAACCAGGAACTCCCAAAATAGACACATCGAGGAAGACAGTGACAAGGTGAAGAGCACCTATCACAGCAGGGAACTCACTGCCCGGGATTTTAAGGTGCTGTCGGCACGACTGAGAAGAGTTGGGCTCCCATCCAATCGCCCTCGGTTTCCCCATTGTATCTAGTCTCCCAGTACAGAAGAGTGCCACTTACACTTGGCTGGCCCCTTCACTTCACATGAGGTTCGGGAGGGAAAGCCCCAAGGGCCTGTAAGCTGCGGGAGTGCTAACATATGCCCGCAGCAGGCTATCTGGGGTGATCAGAATCCGGGCCTCCGGCTTCTCCCACTCCTCACAATTCCAAGCTCCCTGAGGCGCCCTCGAGGACCTGCTGTCCCCGCGCTGGGGGGTGCCGGCTCCCGCCCACCATGTGGCCGCCCGGAGCTTCCGGTGGCCCGGACCAGGGGGGAGGGGGTCCCCGCACACGTTTGGCCACGCGGCCTCCGACCCCGAGGGCAGCCTCCGGGGG